GGGGGGGGGCGGCGCTGCGCTGGGCGGCGCAGGGGAGGGCGGCATTGCGCTGGGCAACGCAGGGGGGGGCCAGCGATGCGGGGGGCGGATGAGGGAAGGGCGGCGCTGCGCTGGGCGGCGCAGGGGAGGGCGGCATTGCGCTGGGCAACGCAAGGGGGGGGGGCGGCGCTGCGCTGGGCAATATGCACTGTCCCAGAAAATTGCACCAAAAAATGGCTTACCATTTGCTAGTAGTACGAGTAGTCGACAAAAACCATTTGGGAGTGTGCAACGTCCGTGTCGAAAGAAGGAAAGGGGGCGCGGTACACAAAACCTGTGGGGTGTGCAGGGTGTGCATGTAAGCGCGTCGTACATTCAAACATAAGTCGCATTGTCCATGTCCTTTTGCAATGGCTTATAAGCTGTGCACTCCGTGGGTGTGGGTGTTTGTGGGTGCTTTTGCTGATGTTGTTGGCAGGCCATGCATGCAAAAAAAGCGACACACACCGCACGAAGTGCCTGCAAGGCAGCATGGGACCAGACTCACCTTTGCAACCTAAAATGAGGCGTGTGCGGGTATCTCACCGAAGGCGGAGAGACTGCCGCATACAACCAGACATTCGATGGTTTTCATACATTCGCAAAAAATTTCGGACATGAGACCGCACACAACAATGTGGCAATGTACACGAAATTTAAAATGTGGAACAATGCTTATTGCTGGAGGGTGCTGACCGCCTCGCAAATATAAGCAGCTGACATGTACGGTTTGCAGCGAAGATTAAGGATCCAACTGCCATAGTTGTTGGGGCATACGTGCATATGCGCGTTCATGTTTGTGGGTACAACTAAATATATATTTTGCGTCTACTTGGAAGCCATATAGGGGAACTTATCGTGGGTAAGCATATGCTTTAAGTTGTGCGCAGCCTGAAAAGCATCATCAGCGCTGCTCTGAGTAACATAACAGCTTAAACGCATGATTTGCAGGTATTATGGTATTTCTTTGATTTGCTTACGGGGGCGCCGCGCTGCTGCTTCATATGTGGTCGTAGACAACGCCTGCGCTTTGGCTGGCGGCGGCTCTGCCAGCTTTTGAGGACAAGTTTTATCCGAATAAACGGTGCGTAATTTATGTGTTCGTTTCAACGCATGCAGCTAGACAGCAGCATCTCAGCACAAGCATTGCCATCTTAGCTGCGCGCCTAACCTGCGCGTTCGCTCGCCATAGTGATGGGATTTGGGATAAGGATTCACTAGTTCTTTTAGGGGGCTTTTGAGAGCTTCGGACCATGCAGGGAGTCGTAGGTGCAATCAAATCGCTAAGCCTGCAGCAACCCACAGCAGCACATCATGGGCACCTCAGCACAATCTTGCAACGACATGTTGTGGCATCAACAAAATTTCGCGGATCATAGTTCATGTATAAAGGGCAAGCGGAAGGAGTGCGCATGGTTTGGGTAGATGGGCTTGTGGGAGACGTAGAAAGGGCCTGTGGTATTGAAACTGCCCCGTCCAGCATGTGATTTAACATGTCAGAAATCGTA